AGGACAGGGCCAGCGGGGACAGGTGACCGGGAGGCCCCCCAAAGGCCCCTCAGGGCTGCCTAATGAGTACGATGTGGTTAGGGGTCTCCTGAGTTATGGGGGAAGAGAAATCTGGAAATTTAAGAATGACACCAAGTATAGCAAAGTTCTTATCAACCATCATACACACTTTTAATTGCAAAAGTAAAAACTTTCATTACATAAAACTTTACATACATTCTTTACATGGCGGAAGTCTTTACAAGTTTGCAGTACCTTAAGTTACCATCAACATTCTGCACCGAACACGTATTAGAACAGCGTACACCATCTGGAGCATGCGCGGTTGGGACAGGTGTCTTGTCTCCCTCGGCCTACTGGAACCTTCCCCGGTTCCCTTGAAGATGCACGGCAGCTGTCCCAATGCCTGTCCCTGACGAGGGTGGGGGAGACTGAGCATTAGCTGCTGGCTTAGCTCTGCCCCTCCAGTCTGCTCCCCCAGCCTAGGCGTCTGTTACTGACCCTTCTGCAGGAGGGAGGGAGGAGAGAGACCACACCCAACATGTTTCTGAGGGGGACACTATGGCAACAAGTTGCGGGGCGGGGGGGAAGTTGCCGGTCATGATGAGACTAGGGGTTCTTGGGAATGCCATGTGTCTGTCTGACCCTGTCACAAATTCTTGTGGATAAGAGAGTTTGTTTCTGAAAGGGCCAAAAGTGCCCTGAGGAGCTGGAATTTGGAGGCTGGGACACGGCTGATCTTTGAGTAAAAGTGGCTTCACAGGATGACCTCACCTACCCCACAGAGCTGTTGTGAGGAAATGAGGTTAACTAAGTTTGGCACACAGCTGATGGCCTGACTGCCCAGTTTCTGTTTGAAACTCTAGACTCGTTTCCCTTCTCTGCTCAGGTGCCTGCAGCCGGGTCTCATGCTTGGATCCATGCCGCCGACTGACAGATGCACTAAGTGGAGGGGAAATGGTCTCCGGGTTAGCCCCAGCCCCACCATGTCTGGATGGTTCCAGGCCTCCACTAGGAGTTACATAACATTTCTTCTCTCCACTCTTCTGAAAAGCTCTGGGCATTTCCCAGTCTCTGGAGAGAGGAAAACGACAGATGTATTTAGCTCTAATGCTTAAATTATGCAGGGCAGGGAAACCAGACACTAAGGGACCTGGACAAGAGACAAGCTGGCTGGACGGTTTCTCACAAAGGCCAGTGCATAAAACCATACTGCGTCCAAGGGTGGGCCGACTTGGGTGTGGTGCAAATAGGGGAGCACCTGTCTGTCTTCTTGGAGATGCTTTTGTGAAAGAAGCCACTAGATATCAGGAGGCTGGGGGTGAGGAGGCCAGGGAGATGCTGATGGCGACACAGAGTATTCCCAGAGCCTTCCATTTTTCATTTGCTACAGGGCTATCCCCATAAGCACTGGCACCTTCCAGCCTCCTGGCCCCGACACCCATTGGCGCTGTGCACAACATGCATAGCTCCAAACAGAGAGAATCTCAATCTAAAATGCCATTTAAACCAATATCGCACTGTATGTTAAAATTTAAATTTAAAAAAAGGGGAGAAATGCCATTTAAAGCACATCCCACATTGCTTTCCTTCTTCCAATTTTAGTGGGTGATGGGTCACCACTGAAAGTTAATGAGTGTCAACTCGTGAACTCAGAGCTGAGTTTCTCCTCCACCACTAAGAGAGCTCAAAAGCCTAAAGGACCCCTCTGATTAAGAACTGATTCTCAAGAGGTAGTCACGATCACTTCTCTCCATGTAACCAGACAGCTTTGGCCCTTTCCCCTATAACTTGGCCTTCTCCTGTGGGCAAGGATTAGGTGAGAAGTGAACATTTGCTTTGGGGTTTTGAATGTTCATTATGGAAGCCACTGGTTAAGGAGCCAACTCTCATCGCACACTATATTAAAATGAGTGAGGCCATTACCTGTAGCGAAGGAGATTGAGAGTTTTTAAAAAACAAATTGCTCCTACATAGAGGTCTATGCTGGATTTGGGAAGAAGGGACGAGAAAATGGAGAGCTGACAAACAAGTGAGGTAAACTCTAAAGGGAGCCACAACTGGAACTGGGCAGAGTCCCTCTTCTGGTCACACATCTGGAAACGTGTGATGGGAAAATGGCTAGACACACAGTTGTGTTCCAGCCACGCTCACTCTTGAAGAGCTTTCAAATGGGGAGGGAGAAAGTGAAAGGATTTTTATAGAAGTCATCTGGTTAGATTCTCTCCTGTTCCCTTTCTGTCCAAAACAATCTTGAAAACAAACCCTGAAGAGTTCCTGGCTTGCTGACCCTCTCCCAAGGTCCTCCTGACCCAGTGGGGACACGCCCCAGGCAATTAAACCCACAGCTTCGTTCTTGGGCACCACACTGTGCTGAGGCAGGGAAACAATGTGCTGCAAAACCAACTACCTACTGACCTGCAGTTAACTGTTCTAAGCCCTGTAAAATGTTTCCTGTAAAATGAGGATCTAACGCCTACTTGACAGGACTGAGTAACGATTAAAGGAGATCACGGAGATTGAGGCCCTCTTAGAATGAACTGGACAAATGTTACTATTCTTTCCCTAAGAAAATGAGTCCAAATCTGCCCATTTCTTAAACTGTTTTGTTCTTCACAAAATAAGTAGATTCTGTGTATTTGTTTTTGGGGCTCACACTTACAACCCCTGAGATCAAGAGTGGCATGCTCCACTGACTGAGCCAGCCAGGCGCCCCTAGATTCTATGTTCATAAACCATATTATTTTACTCCCTCCCTTCCCTAAAAAAATTGAGTGTGGGGAGAGGATAAGTTCTGCCTGAACAGGTGTAATGTCTTGTCAATACTTGGCCCCTGCTGACATCAGGACATCTGGACATAAATGCTTCAAACTGGTGCCAAAGCAGCCTTTCTCCCCAGAGAGAAAGTGGGTGCCTATAAGAAAAGTGAACCTAACCCACGTGTGGAGGTCACCATCATGTCACCTCTTCGTAAACACTCGACAAACTTGTGAGCATTTTGTTCTTCTTGTGGTGGAGAAGGTGGGGGGTTGGTTAGGTAGTCCCACCATGCCCCCCAACCCTTCCTCCTCATCTTGATGACCCTCTTCTCCACACCGGGTCATGTGGAGGGACTTCTGCTGCTCCCATGAGAGCTGGGTGAGCAGCACCCTCACACCAAGTCTCGGGCTGCCAATCCAGGCCATTCCTGAGGGAAGCCATTCCTGTGTTCTGCTTATCAGAATTGCCTTCAGAAGGCGGCAAATTACTTTGACGTATCCAGTAATTAAGAGCTGAAAACTCTCTTTGGAAAATTTCTCCCTTAACAGAAATTGACCTTCAGTTCTGAACAGGATAGATTTTAAGCTTAGGAAATGCACGAAAATCTGTTTCTTTACGGCCACACCATTTTTTTTGTTGCACTGTAGACAGCTTAGGGGCTTAGGGGACTTTCCAGGAGATGCCTCAGAACAACAACACATGCAAGGGTTTCTCAGTTTTCAAAGTTTTGAGCTGAAGTGGATATTTTATGAACATTTAAGGTGAGAAGGGCAGGAGTGAAATGGGGACGGAACACAGGGTAATTCATAAAGACAAAATAGAAATCTCAATCATCAAAACAGTTTCTTTTCCTTCTAAGAAACCCTCTTTTGTTAACCCAAAGGGCCCAATTGAAGAAAACTCTAAAAAACTTGTTTACATATAATCCTTCTCCATGCACAGCAGGGGAATCTAAAAGCTTGCGCAAAGCTGGCCTTGAAATGATCCCTCTGAAATAAAACCTCTTAAATCATACTGCTTAGCAGCATGCCTTTTATATGTACAAAAAATTTTGTTTTTCCTGTATTAACCTACACAAGGCGGGGACTTCTTTAAGGAAAAATTCCCTCAGGGACCGTTTATCCTAATTTCATTCAAGTCCACGGAGGCCGATTATTTCCACCCTGAGCTCTGTGAACCATTCTTGTCCTTTACAGACTCACAAAGCAAGTCTTTTAGTGCCTTGCTGATCCCCACGGCTGGCTGCTCGGGAGATGTGCTAAGGGAGGGCCCAGGGATAAGGTACAAGGACACCTCCAAGGACGCAGAGGAAGGACCCTGCAAGGAGTCACACCCCCTCCTCTCGCCACTGTCTGCCTCTGGTCCATTCATTCTGCCATGGACACCTGTACTCATCTGATTTCTGAGATTCAGAACCAGGGGCCACAGTCGGGTTTTTTTCTTCAGCTTGGTGACAGCATGACTAGAGGCCGGGTATCTAGCAGCATCAAAAAAGGAATAAAGGGTGGGGGGGAAGAGGAAGAAAAGTATCCTTATTTATATCATTTGATTAATACATATTAAAAGCACTTGGAGAAAACAATGAGCATAGGTTATCACCCAACTGAAAGAACATAGCTTTATATTTTTACGAACAATAAAAATACCTCACCTTGTTTCCCAGTACAAAGAGAGAAATCATTTTAAGACAGAAGATCCCAGAGTTGCACACCCAACTGGCAAACACGTTGGGTCTGGAGTTCCTTCCCCAACCACATTACAACATCAGCTTGACACATCTGTAAAACATCTTCCCTGCAGAAAGCTGGACCCTAAGGATCAAACCCGGGGAGGCACCCTCTCCCCAGGCCAGCGCTCTAACTCATCCCTTCTGAAGACACTTGGTAAACGCAACCCAGTTGACAGAAGCCGTGCTGCCTCAGCAGTAAAGGGCTCTGGACCAGCCAAGGAGAGGGGACCAGGAGTCCAACTTCTGAGAAACCATCCAGACAGGGAAGTGAGAAGGGAAGGGAGCGGGGTTGGGGGTGGGCATAAGAACCTGATCAAATGGAGGGAAGTATTACCTTAGGAATTACCATTTCCATTACAATCAGACTCCAACCTGGCATCACTGAGACTCCAAGAGTCATGGACACTGGGGAAAGCAGTGCATTTCTTGAGTGCAATGATTATTTAATCCTGTTTCACTGGTTTCTAGATTCCATTCCGCTGGGGAAACTGCAATGACTTCTTTAATCAGGCATGGCTTTCCACCGAAGTACAGGCTGGTGTGGCCAGGAAGACAGGACAAGCAGGCCCACCTGGTAAGGGAGGGCTCTGAAGTCAGGACCTGCCGGCTGCCCTCTCTGTGGCCAGGGAGCCGGCAGAGGGGATCAGGCTGTGCAAGAAAGGGAAGGCACCAATCCCGTTTCCTGCCTGAGGGGCAGCCTTGAGGCTGCGGTTCCAAAAGGTGTGGAAGATGAAAGAGCCCAGTCTCTCACAGGCAGGTATTGGCAAAGTCCTGGCCAAGCAGCTAGGCTGGAAGAGTCGGGAGGGCCAGGCTCTGGCCACGACCTCCAGCATACGGCTGGCTCATACACGCATGCAGAGGGCAGGTAACTAAGTAGCCTTGGAAAGTGGTTCATCGTTTTTATTTCCCCCCTTTCAATCTGGTCTTCAGCTCTCTACGTTGTTCCTCTGTACAGTTCTTGTTACCTATAGTTCTGAGCGGGTGGTTCCATCACAGATGACCAAAGGCTGGACCCCTCGGGCTATCATGTAGACCTTCCAGTGGGTGGCGCCGGCATAGCCTTGAAGGGAAAGAGCAACAGGACAGCAGGTGAATGTCAGGGACGGGGCACAGCTGCGGGCGGGAGCAAGGCGGGGCTGCCTCACATAAACAGCCCCAGTTCTCAGGCTTCTGGGTAAACTGATATCCAGCAGGAGCCACTGTGAACCAAAGCGCCTCATTACCACCAGAAGCCTGGGGAACGAGGACTCAGTTCAACAGGTTTACAAAGGCAGGATGCTCCAGATGAGGCTGGAGCTGGGCATCAGTTCTCAGGCCTATGTCATCTTTATCAGCAAGAAGAAAGGACGAGTTCTGAGGGGGAGTAGGACCCCCCCATCCAATTCCCCTAATGTGATCTCTAACACCATCTCATTATAGAACAGCCTGATGAGCTCAAACCAACATGTCCTAAATTGTGTTCTGCAAACAGCAGCATCCCGCAAGACAGTAGAAGGAAAATGGGTTCCGTGGTCAAGGAAGTCTGAGAAACACTAGGTTCCACCAAGGCTTCTGGAGCCTTCGGTACACTAATGTGCACTATATACTGACAAGACAGGCAGTTCCCCAAATCAACGGACCCAACAGCCCCATTTGTCAAGGGCCTTTCTAAGGGGCTCCTGTTCCCATCCCCAAGGGTCATCAGTGATCTGAAGAACGGTTAAGGAAACACTGACCTATATTACAAGTGGTGTAAACTTAAAAGCTTTAAAAACTTGAACACTCCAATAATCTCCCGATGGAAAATTCTCTGGAGTATAATGTACCTTACCTTTCTTTAAACTGAGAGCACTGAATAGAATTTAATCTCTACTTGGTGACTCAAGAAAGGTCACTATGGGCAGTGACTGTGCAATCACCGCACACGCGTGGGCTCACCAGCATCAGCCTCTGAGGCCTGACCCCTACGTCGTTCTTGAAAATACCTCTCACCACGGGTTTTCTGGTGATCTGTGTCCTTGTCCCCTTCCCCTTGGCCTTCAGAGGACAATGTTATTTTTTTTTTAAAGATTTTATTTATTTATTTGAGAGAGAGAATGAGAGAGAGCGAGAGAGAGCACATGAGGGGGGAGGGTCAGAGGGAGAAGCAGACTCCCTGCCAAGCAGGGAGCCCGATGCGGGACTCGATCCCGGGACTCCAGGATCATGACCTGAGCCGAAGGCAGTCGCTTAACCGACTGAGCCACCCAGGCGCCCAGGACAATGTTATTTTGTCAAAAACCACAGAGCCTGCTTGTCACAGTGTGATTCTTAAGGGTGCCCGAGGTGCTGGAGCTGCCACCTGTCCTACAAGCAGCCCTGAATTATTCTCCTTTGCTGTCAGGGTCTGCTTTCCTGTCCTTGTCTTTATTTATTTTTAAAGCCTTTATTTATTGTGAGAGAGAGAGAGCACGATCAGGGGGAGGGGCAGAGGGAGAAGCAGACTCCCCGCGGAGCAGGGAGCACGACGGAGGACTGAACCCCAGGACCCCGGGATCATGACCTGAGCCGAAGAAGGCAGACGCCTAACTGGGCCACGCCGGCGGCCCTCTTGTCCTGGTCTTTAACGGTGGCAGCCGCAGCCACGGCTCCTGTTTCTGCCACTGCTTCGGCAGCCCGCTGTCCTCCCCGCCCCCGTTCTTCTCCCAGACCTGCCCTCTTCCTCTTGTTCCAATAGGCCCCCATCCTTCCGCACGTCGCTGTCCTGTGGCTGGCCTTTCCCGGACACTGCCGCCCACGCCTCCTCTCCTTCTGGCCAGCAAACCAGCCACTCAGAGCACGGCAGGTGATCCTGCTTTGGATCTAAGGCTTTTCTGCACTATTCCCACCAGCCTTTGATGCTCAAGGCTCCTTTGACCACTGCCGGTCATCCATTTACTCCCCTTAATTCTACAATTGGCATTCTAGATGGCTGTGGGGTCCAGAAAGCTAAACTTTGGATAACTGAGGTGTTCCTGTAAGTTGTCCGAACTGTCAGGCATTGGTAGAACAGAAGACAGAAACTATTTCAAGCCATCACTATACACTCAACCCCAAATGCCACACAGACTTGTGCAATAGTCCTGCCTTACGGAAGGGTCACTCCACTGCAGGAAAATCGCTTCAGAACAATTTCTACACAAAAGTCCTCTTTTTTGCAGTAATTCCCAAGGGCCAGGCCAGCTGTGCTCCATTATCAGTTAATGCTTAATTTGTGCATTCTTTTCATTTCTAAACTGAAAAAAGTTATGTAATGTGGATTAACGCTTGTCAGAGTTTGCAGTCTGGACCCTACTTCCAAACGAGGGGAAAGGTTTCCAGCTACCAGGGTCTTCTGAAGAGGTAAAATTAAAAGAAATCAGTTAGGAAGACCAGTCTGGACTCTATCAGGGGTGCTAGGCTTCCCCTAGGCTTCATGAGGCAGAAGAAACACAGAGGGCAATAGTAACACTTGGTATTTGCTACTGCCAAGAAAACTCTACTGTCAAACTGATCGCTACGGACAGCAGTTGATTCAAACCTTTTTTGGAATAGGCTTTTAGACTATAACGCACAGAACAGGCCACGGTTGGGATATCATGGAGCCAAGGGTGAGTCATGACTATGGGGCGGGGCCCCGGCTGTGGGACCCACACGGAAGGTAATACTTCCCCACGGGGCTGTTGCCCTTGCATACTGCTTGCGCTGTTTTATGAGCAAAACAGGCAGAAAAAGGGTTTCCTCGAATCTAGAATTGTACCTCCCCGGCCTGACTCTGTTGCAGGGGACACGTAAAGCTTAATGCTTTGCCTAGCTGATGGGAACTTGGGATAGTCGCCTCTCCTCTCTGGGTCTCAATCTCCTCATCTGAAAAATAAAGGATTGCTCTAAGTATTTTCCATAATGCCTTCTAACTGGAAACTTTTAAGACCAATGGACACATCATGCATTCTAAATGTATACACAATGAGGCATTTCTCTGTGCTACATTTCCTCCTTAGCATATTGTTCCACCTAAGCATAAATATAAGCAAAAACTCTGCCCATAAAAGAAGCCTATTTTTGACTCTACTTAATTGAAACTTTGTGAAGATAATATTTAATTCTCACAATAGTTTTTGAGTTGAAAACTACAAAGATCTTGTGACTGACCTTGCCCCCTGAGGGCCCCACCTACCAATATCCCCTGGCTCTAGTGGCATCGCCACCGACTGGCAGTGTCTTCGGCATTGGGCGGGAGGGATGAGCTGCAACATGGCCTCACCACTGCCAATGATAAACAGGTCATGCATCCTATGCATCTGGAGGAAAAAAAACAAGGGAGAAGAAAAGGGAAACAAAATAAAAACCAGTGGCATGGGAGATTAGCATACAAAAATATATATATGGCTCTGACTTTTGCCTAAGCAAAAATGAAAAGAGAACCAATGACACAATTCACAATTATGCCCAAAGGACAAAAACCAACTAGATTCTCCTAAACCTGGCATCTCCTGGTACTGAGACCAGGGACCCGGTGTCCCTATCTCCTGGTACTGAGACCTCTTCTGTGGGTTCTCCTAAAGAGACACTGTGATTTAGTGGGAGACTTCCTCAGGCCCAGCCCTAACGCAGATCTAGCATGAGCTTCATAATTCACGGCTATTTCTAGCCACAGCTCCAAAGGAGGCTGAAGGCAAATCATCTACGTACAATTTAACCGACGTCTAGGAGAGGCCAACACATAGTGGTCTAAGTATACGATCTTCCGAGGGTCTGGTTGGATCCAGACTTTGCAGGGAAATAGATGGCCTGCATTTCCTTTGGGCAATGTTCCATGGAATAGTGCTTCTTGCCGCCAGGGTTTGGAGAATTGAACAGAAGGAAGTTCAAGTTCACACTTTTGGGCAAGATCTGGGTGAACAGATACATCACACTACTGATGAAAAACTAATGACAGTAAGAATGGCCTTAGATTTCCAACCCTAAGAAGGCAGCCAGGCTCTACGCCCCCACAGTAGCGACTGCACTTGGGAGAGCAGACTACCGCCACCAACGCACAGAGTGCAACCCGCTCTGTGCCAGGTCCGGCTGCGAACCCTGGTCTTGGGGTAGGCAGGGAGTAGGGGCAAAGGGAGAGGCTGGGCTGGTCTTGCTCAGGCTTTTCTTCCAACCTAGATGGTGAGAGAAAAACTTTAGGGCCTCTCCTCCCTGTCCCCTCCAGGAAAAGCCTTTCTATGCCCACATAACACAAGGGTCTGAAGGCCGGCTCCCCCGGCCATGTCCTGGTTTGCCCTCCAGGGCACTGGGTCCCTCCAGAGCTTTGGTCTGGGCCCTATCTTCTCCTGTCCCCAACCCTGGTCTCTCTGTTGCTCCCACAGGTCCTGGCCAGGATGCTGTTTCCATGGCAACACTAGAGCCATTCAACTGCCAGTATCGTGACAGAAGGAGGACTAAGAAGGACTAGTGGTTTACGACTGACTGGCAGAGGCCCTGACACATGCAGTCTTGAAGAAATCCCAGGACACCAAAACCCAGTGGATGTAGCTCTTTTTCATCCAGGCCTGAGAGGGGGCGGGACCATGTGCCTCTACCCCCAGGAGAGGAAGAAACAGACAACGGGATGGAGCAGGCCAGCCTCAGGCGACCCTGTGGACTGGGTGACGTGGGCCTGGGAGCCAGCCCCTCACCTCTTTCCCCAGTGCCTCTTACAATCGGATCCCCACTGCTTATTTTCTATCCCAAGGCTGCCCCACAGACATATGACTTTACCGGGCTCTAGGGCCCAGGGATGTGGACAACAGGGTGGAGTAACGAGGCTGTCGAGAAAGAAGAGCCTGGGCCAGGGCGGGGAGCAGATGCTCTAAGAAACCAGACTCTCAGGATGTTTGCCTATTTGGATCACTCCCCTTCCCAAAACATGCTTGAGAACCACAAGATGACTCTGATAGGCGTCTGAGTAACTTAGTATTTACCTTCTGGCTGGGATCCTCGGTGTTCCTGTTAAGCAGACTGGTGAAATTAACTTCAGATTCAAGTGGGAAAACCAAGATAAAGATAAAAGTTCTCGCCCAGAATTATATCATCATTATGAAGATAAAATCATACTAGGGCCCTGAGTTGTAGCCGGGGACAGCAGAATAAACTTCCTTAAAATCTGAGGCACAAGCCCAGCACCTCCACCCTACTGCTGGCAGACAGAAGTTCTTACTTCTAGACAAAATGATTGGTTTTTATAGGCTTTGAAATTCCTTTACCACGATTCAGCAAATTTGGAGCTAAACAACAGTACTGGGAGGCTGAAAACACAACCCGAAGTTGGTAAGGGTCATAGTTTGGGAAATTTCATCCTATTAATTCTTCCAAACCAATTTAAACTCAAAAACCTTCCTCAGGAATGAGACTCAACAGGAGAGCAATTCAGAGAAAAGTAAACAGACACAACACAGAACAGCTTGACTCAGTCCACTGGCCCCAGAGACGTAAATGTGGGCTCTGGGTACTTGGCCGTGGACTAAGTGTTGCTACCCAAACTGGTCTGCCTGCCTCCGGCACATCCCGGCAACCCTTTTATCCCCAAACCTCTCAAGCTTTTTGCTTTTCCAGTTCTCCACCTGAAGTTTCTCATTTGTTTATTTCTGGGGAAAGGTAACCTGGAATGCGGGTTGGTGGTGGGGTGGGTAGAGCCCTCCTATTAACTTGCTGTGTCCTTGGGCAAATCATTCACTCTCTCTGGAGCTCAGTGGCCCTATCCACAAAATGAGTAAGATGGGCTGCTCATTTATAGCTTGCCTGCTGTCTACTTTGAGGTGGGGAAATCAGACTAACTGCATGCTTGGGTCCCTTTAAATTTCAGGACTTTACTTCCTAACGTAGAAAAGTAGCTTGACCTCAGGTGTCAAGGGCAGGAAACAGATCTGCAAGGTAACGAGACTTTCTGTAAGCATGCCTTTGTGGAAGGGTGGGCCACTGCAGGTCTCCTGGCTAGCAACAGGCGGAGAGAACTGTAGGTTATGTGGGTGTCCCTTCAATTCACTTTCTGAGTTGACATGCAGGGAAGGAAGGGATTATGACATCAGCCCAGGTGCCAAAAGAGGAGAATTCTAGACCCAAGTCCTCTCAAAATGTCCTACCTTACTACCCACAATAGGTTCCGGTTGAAGAAGGAAGCACTTTTTTAAGGAGGCATCTTTTGGAAATGGCAGGTAGGTGAAAACAGGAAAAAGCTCGCGTAAAATGTGTGCTCTGTTTAGAGGTCTTCTCCTGTAAAATTTGAAAGAGACAAAAGCAATTCAGCTGGGCAAGCCAGCTTCTATCTCCATGACTAACAGGGAGCTAAGCAAGGGTGGGAAAACTGTGGGCGGTGGGTAAACAGGGAAAAATATCAGGACAGTATCTTAAGTATTAGGTTCATGAATAACAGTCATGCCAAATCAATTAATTGTGACATGCACACGTACACACATAACTCCACAGCCAATAATTTGTACATGTGGGTGGGGTGTTTATAAAATCCAGCTAAAACAACATATAGAGGAAGGAAAGAAACGGTCCATTCATTCTATCTTGGAAAAGAGACTGAAGTAACTAACAGCAGGCCAGGCGGGAGAACAGAAGGGAGGAGGAGGAGGCAGAAATCATGAACTTTCTTCTAAGGCGGTACGGCATGCAATGGGAAGCCTAACTAGTTAAACCAGGGTATTCAATCAGGCAAATAAATGGCAAATTTTAAAAAAGACAGAAGCATTGAGAAATTATCTAACAGACCAAAAAAGCAATTTTAATTCTCTTTTGGAATGGTTCTAGATGGAAACTGGCTTTCCTTCTTTTTTTCTGGAGAGCAACCTTCACCCCAAAAATGGACCATGTTTTCTTTTTATTTATTTTTTTTTAGAGAGAGTGAGCGTGACCGGGGGAGGGGCAGAGGGAGAAGAGCAGACTCCCTGGATGAACACAAAACCTGATGGGAGGCTCAATCTCATGACCCTGAGATCACGACCTGAGCCACAATCAAGAGTTGGACGCTTAACCGACTGAGCCACCCACACGCCCCGACCATGTCTTCTACGGGACACAGGGAGGAAGAGGGAGACAGACCTGGGTTTCAATCCTGGCTGGGTGACCTTAAGCAAGGTACTTAACCTCTCTGATTCCCACTTTTCTGATCTGAAAAATGACAATGATAATTCCTACTTCCTACAGCTATTATGAGCATCACCAGTGAGAAACAGACACTGACCACTAAGGCACGCAGCCTGGCACAAACAAGTGCCAGGAAATGAAGTTTCCCTTCTATTCTTCATGCTTTCTCTTTAGCCCTCAACACTCAGGATGCATTTTGCACAAACACAAATGTTAAACATGTCCTCAGAAATAAATTATGATGCTATCAGGCAATCTCAGTGTCCACTTACGGTGATAGCCCTCTTGAGACACCTCTTCAACTCATGGCTGGTTTTTCAACAGTGAGGTCCTACCATTTGACTTGAAGAGTGCCTACCCAGTGCGAGGCAGGGGAGGGTCTCAGTGGTAGCTAGTATTGTTCTCACACTTGGTCTGCCCGGTTTCTACCACATGCAGGCTAAGTGCCCTTTTCCACACTCACCATGGATAAGGAAATGGGAACCACCGTTCGGGAAAGCAGCGCCACCACTTGTTGAAAAACGCTTCGCTGAAGCCTTCCGTCACCTCAGGGTACTGGCACAGGAAATGCTGAAGCTCTTCTGACAACAAGAGCTGTCCCGTCTTGGCAAGGCAGAAAACAAAAGCAAGACAAAAACCAACACAGGATTCCTTCTCAGGAATGTCACAGAGCCTGATGCTTGCAAGCCATTAAACAGATAACCTATCAGTGGGAGAATCAGGCTTCTTGCTCACCTTGATCACCAGAGGATGAAGTCTCTCAAATTTCTTCGGGGTATCTTCCAGGAGCATTACCTTGAGGGGTAATTTCTGGGCACAGCCAGTGCAGTTGGCAGGGATGGGGTCCGACTCATTCTGCTCACAGTTGTTTGTCCACCAAGGGTCAAAGTCTGTGAGAGGAAGGGATATGGAGAAGGCAGATACAGAACACAGTGGGTAAACCCTCAGCCTCAGCAATGAAAGTAAAAAGGAAAGATACAATGATTTTTAAAAGCTGACAATGATCAGCACTGGTGACCTCCAAAAAGGTACATATGAAATAAGTACACCCTCTGAGGAGGGTGTAGAGGGCACAGGGGATAGAGGTGGGCAGGAGACGTATGTTCTTCTGTATATTCTTTTACACTTCATGGAAAATATTTTTTAATATGTATATGTATCTCCTAAGTCAAATCAACTACGTCAACCAGTTGGAGAAGATATTCAGCAACGTGGGGATGGAGATAGAGCTGTCCCACACGTCTGAAAGTCTACAGCACATGGGGGAGGGGCAGGCAGAAAGGGTGGTCCCACCACCAGTGACGAGCCCCACTGTGTGTTGTCTCCAAGTGGAGGCCAGGATGACTCTGGGAAAGAGGAGCGAGAAAAGATGGAGAGGAGATAGGACTTCTCACGGGCCCATCTCTAGTGTAAAGTGAATTGCATGTGCCCACTAAGTGCTCTGTGGGGCACCTGGGTGGCACAGTTGGTTAAGCTTGGGACTCTTGGTTTTGGCTCAGATCATGATCTCGGGGTCACGGGATCAGGCCCAGATGGGCTCTGAGCTCAGCGGGGAGTCAGCCTGAGATATTCTCTCTCACTCTGCTCGTGCCCCCTGCACCCCACTTTTGGGCTCTCTCTCTCCCAAATAAATAAATAAATCTTAAAAAAAAAAAAAAAAAAGACAGTGCTCTGTCCCAGCTCAGAAGTGGGTAGGGCCCACTAACCATGGTGTCTACCCCCCCAGGGCTGCAGGTTGGTCAGCAAGGGAAGAATGGCCGACCAGTCCCTGATGTGAGCGCTAGTTGCCTCGCCATCCCCCTTCTCTCGCAGCTGAAGAGTTGGCTCACTCTCTGGATGCAGCCCTTCTCAGTTTCCCTCTGTTCCTTCCCTCTGACACCATTCTGTTTCTAATGTTATTGCGTTATTTCTTGTTTGCTTTCTGTTCCACTCTGGGTTTCATCTGTGTTCTCTGAGATATGTGCTTATGATAAACTCTAATTTGGATCCAAAATTTTCACAGATGGTTTCTGATTAAAACCCAGTGGAAACCAAATCGGGAGAAAGCCTAGAACAAAAGACAAACAGACCACCAAATGTGGCTGAAATTAAGTCAATTCTCTGAACCAATCAACACACTTGGAAACTGACTCCTAACCATAAAACATTTGCTGCAGTTGACAGCAAGTGCCTTTTCCTTCTTTTCTTAAGGCAACAGTAGTGGGGCGGAGGAAATCCCCACCAGGGAAGGACTGCATTTGTTCTTAGCTTGTCTCCTGAGCACCCTCCAAATGCCCTCCATCTCTTGCAGACAGAACCTGTTTCCTTGAGGCAGCTGCCACCTCCCCTCCTCACATGCCTCAGTTGTGGGCAGACTGCCAGCCAGGGGACCCTCTGCTGCCTCCTTATCCTGCCAGGGGCCTCCAGGGACAGCCAGGAACCCTCCTGCGGCACCCATTTCAGGTGGCACACCGAGGCTGCGAAGTTATGCGTTTTTCTTTGGGGATATTTTTTTTTTATTTTGAGATAGAGGGGGGTAGAGAGAGATCATGAATGGGAGGCGGGGGCAGAGGGAGAGGGAAAGAATCTTAAGCAGGCTCCATGCCCAGCACAGAACCCAATGCAGGGCTCAATCTCACGACCCTGAGATCATGGCCTGAGCCAAAATTGAGAGTCGGACGCCTAACCAACTGAGCCACCCAGGCGCCCCTCTTCTGGGATATTTTCAAATGTTCCTAATTAGAGGTCAAATACGATTACTTCTTGCCCAAATACAAGCACTTTGGGTAATGGACATACAACGAGGCATAAGTAATCATAACAGTATGTTACAATTATATAGTATTTCAGTTTCCAAAGTCCTTGTGAGGGAGTTCTATGGAAGGAAGGGGAAAGGACATCGACGTGTTAAATGCCAGGCCCTGGGCTGGTCATGTTCACATGCTCTATCATTTACTTTTTACTATATGATTATTGAGGAGGCAGCGCTCTTCTCCCATTACAGATGGGCAAGCAGAGAGTGAGGGGCGAGAGCAGTAACCAAGGCACCAGAGGGTGGTGGGAAGAGCACAGAGCGCGTGGCAGTAGAAACGAAAAGTAGGACGGCTGTGAGGAGGGCTTCCAGGGCGTGAAGCGCTTCTGACTCTGAGCAAAACAAGAAACCGGCAAAGGCCTTTGGGTAGTGGTTTCCAATGCTTTAGGAAGGTTATTCTGGGCTGTGACTAGACTGTCCGAGAAGAGAGAGGCTGGGAAGAGGAAGACTGGGTTGTACTTTGTTTTTGTCCTTTTTTGGGGGGCAGGGGTTGTACCATGATGAGAGGTGACATATAATGAGAGGTAAACTGAGGCAGTGATGGCACAACCTACAGATCTAAAGAATGCTGTGTGCTGAGATTGCCCAAGCACACCTCGCCTAAGGGGGCCTGGACACCGTGGATGCTGGAGACCTGCAGATTGATCATGACATGTTCCTGCAGGCATGTGTCCTATTCCAACTGAGTCAGTTAATTATGGCAATTTCTCCAGGAGGTAAGAGTCAAGTGTCAGGAGAAGGGGGCATCTTAATGTATACAAAGGTGCTTTAAGGGCTAGGGGCTAGCAGTGAGCGGTTCTGAACCTAAGAGCACAGAGAGATCATTTTAGCTGTGACTTATTGAATTTCGGTTTTATTCTGAGCTTTAGACACTCCTGGGATTTCCAGGTAGAGGTGCCCTGAAAAGGAGGCGGAGGAAGAAAACCCTGGGAAGGAAAAATCAGGAAAGAGAAAGAGAGACTAGAGTACTACCCAGAGGATTCAATGAGGTGGCAGAATGTAAGGTACACACATCTAGACACATGAACACCAATGACCCCTTCCTCTCCTAGCTAGTCACTGCAAAACTGAAATGGAAATGGCCTCATTCATTACTAGCAGGAAGCTTCACAAGAAAGGTAGAACTATAGAATTTGACTGGAGGACATAAAATAAGACTTGAATAAATAAACATATCATACCGTGATCCTGGATGGGAAGACTAAATATTAAAAAGAGGCCAAGTCTACCCAAAGATAAATTGAGAACTTGGAGAGTCTCCCATCAGAGTTCCTACTGGTGAAGGTAGGGGTGGGGTGGGGCTGTGACAATCTCATTCTGAAGTTTATCTAGAAGAGGAAATGTGTGAGAACAGCAACAGGCAATAATCCACCCCCTGCCCAAATTAACTCTGGAAATAATTTCAGGGCCAGAGGCGTCCTTGGTTATAAAAATGACTTACAGGGCGCCTGGGTGGCTCAGTTGGTTGGACGACTGCCTTCGGATCAGGTCATGATCCTGGAGTCCCGGGATCGAGTCCCACATCGGCCTCCCTGCTCAGCAGGGAGTCTGCTTCTCCCTCTGACCCTCTTCCCTCTCGTGCTCTCTATCTCTCATTCTCTCTCTCTCAAATAAATAAATAAAATCTTTAAAAAAAATAAAAAATAAAAAAAATAAAAATGACTTACAAAGTCTGGTCGCTGCTTCAAATCTATGGAGGACACGCCCCCTCAGGCCCAGATACCATTGGACAATACAGTAAGAGCCTATGTCACAGACCCTGGGCAGATGGTGGACCTGAGGACCCTCACCCCTGACTGCTCACGGGTCACTGGACAGCTCGAGTTCTCTACAATGCTGGGCGTGAAGAGGGAAGGACTGGAGGGAAAGGGCATTATTCTGCTGTCTCTGTGTAGATAAAACATTAACAAAAAACCTCAGCTTCACTGAGATTTAATTCCTAGACCATAAAATTCATTCATTTAAAGTGTACAGTTCAGGGGCACCTGGGTGGCTCAGTCGGTTAAGCGGCTGACTCTTGATTTCGATCTCAGGGTCCTGGGATCGAGCCCCCAGCCCCAAGACAGGCTCCGTGCTCAGAGGGGAGTGTGCTTGATTCTCCCTCTCCCTCCGCACCTCCCCCCGCCACTCACGCACTCTCTCAAATCAATAAATCTTTAAAAAATAAACTGTAATTCAGTGGCTTTTAGTATATTCACAGAATTGTAGTAACTATCGCTATTAACCAATTTTAAAACATTTTCATCACCCTAAAAAGAAACCCTATACCTATTAGACATTTTTCCCATTCTAACCCCTCTCCTGCCAGCCCTAAGCAACCACTCATCTTTCAGTCTCCATGGATTTGCCTATTCTGGTATTTCAAATAAATGGAATTGTGCAATATACAGTCATTTGTGTCTGGCTTCTTTAATTTAGCCTAATGTTTTCAAGGTTCATCCATGTTACAGTGCTTATCAGTTGACTTTCCTTTCTATTGCCAAGTAATATTCCGTTACGTGGATTATACTACGTTTTGTTTATTCATTCATATGTTGCTGGACATTTCTACTTTGGGGCTATCATGGACGATGCTCCTAGGAATATTGGCATACAACTGTTTGTGTGGACATGTGTTTTCAATTCTTCTGTGTACATACCTAGGAGTGGAATGACTAGGTCATTTGGTAACTCTGTGTTTAATTTTCTGAGGAACTGCCAAACTGTTTTCCAAAGCAGCTGCACTATTTTACGTTCCTGTCATCTGCCTATCTTTCTTGGAGAAATGTCTTTTCAAATCTTTTGCCTATTTTTAATTGGGTTATTTGTCTATTATTGAACTTTAAGAAAATAAATTCTTGAAAAAATAATGAGGCACTTGCTCTTCTAGATGTAAGAACACAGTAGCATTCTATAAAGCTACTGTAATTAAGAGTACAGTCGATCCTCACTATGTACAGATTCCCATCTGTGAATTTGCCTACTCCCTGAAATTTATTTGTAACCCCAATCAATTCTTGTGGTGCTTTCGCAGTCATCCCCAGCCATGCAGAGTGGCAAAGCCTAGCTGAGGTGAAGAAGGTGACACTTGGCCTTTTTGTTTCACCTCTCAAACTGTAA